AGATTAATATGTATCAAAAATTTCAATTTTTTAAAAAATGTCTCAGAACCCCATTTTCCTAGCAAACTTCCCATATACCAAATTTGGTAAGCTAAATTTTATACTTTTATAATCACTATTCTATATTTATTATTAAAAAAATCAAATTTAATTATATAATATAAAAAGTTTAAAGTTATTTAAAGTTAAAATTTGTGTTTTTTAAAAAATTTTTATATTTTGATATTAAAATTTTTATTACTAATCTATAATGATCTTATTAAAATTTAATTTATATATTATTATAATATTATATTATAAAGAAAAGCTATTATTTATTATTTATTATGATTTTTATTAATTTATTAAATATGAATTTTTTAATAAATTTGATAAAAAATATAATATTTATGATTTGATATTACTAAAATTAATATTTTATATTTTATTAAAAATTTAAGCAAATTTGCTTATAACAAATAATTTAAATCGATCCTTAATTAAAGTCACGTGAAAATTTTCAAATGACCGTCCCTTATCAACCGTCATAAACGTAATTTTGGCGACTTGAAGATCTATTTTTTTATATATATATATATATTTCAAAACCGTGTCTCAACAAAAAACTTTTATGCTTTTTTAGAAATTTTTCAAAATCCTTTTATAAAAACTTCTTTAACCAACACAAAAACTTTTTATTGCCTTAGTAAATATGTCAGATTCCGAATATTCCGAATATTGTCCAGACGAAGATGAATATACCGTAAAACCTACAAAAACGCGTAAACCAACTGTAAAATCTTCTTCAAGTAAAGCATCTTCTAGTAAAGTCTCAGCCGGTAAAAAACCTTCTAATAAAGTTAGTAAAGTCACCTCCAGTAAAGCAACTTCTGGTAAAGCCGCTTCTAGTAAAATCGCTTTCAGTAAAGCCCCTTCTTCAACTATCGCTTCCTTTAATGAAGTTTCGTCAAGTAGAACTATAACCCAAGCAAAAAAGTCTGTAGAAGAAATATACCAAAAGAAAACTCAACTTGAGCATATTTTATTAAGACCTGATACTTATGTTGGATCAGTTCAAGCGTCGGCCGAAAAGCTATGGGTTTATGATTCGGTCAAAAATATCATGGTCTATAGAGAAATAATTTATGTTCCAGGTTTATATAAAATAATAGACGAAATCTTGGTAAACGCTGCTGATAACAAAATTCGTGATCCCTCTATGGATACTATAAAAGTCGTTATTAATCAAATTCAAGGGGAGATTTCTATTTATAATAATGGCAATGGTATACCTATCGAAATTCATAAAGAAGAAAATGTATGGGTACCAGAACTAATATTCGGCCATCTTTTGACATCTTCTAATTATAATGATGATGAAAGGAAGGTTACTGGTGGTCGGAATGGCTATGGCGCCAAATTGGCAAATATCTTTAGTACACAATTCATTGTTGAAACTATTGATTGTTCCATTGGAAAAAAATATCGTCAAATATTCAGAAATAATATGACTGTCACAGAACCTCCAGAAATCTCGTCTTATTCAAAAAAAGAGGAATACACAATGATCACTTTCAAGCCCGACTTTCAAAAGTTTAACATGCCTAATGGACTTGATGATGATTTCATAGCGCTTTTGAAGAAACGCGTGTATGATCTAGCTGGGGTCGTAAAAGATGTTAAAGTTTTCTTGGATAATGAAAGAGTGAGAGTCAAGAATTTCAAAGATTATGTCATGATGTATTTGAGTGAATCTGATGAAATTGACTTAAAGTCGTCAATTATTTATGAAGAAGTCAATCCAAGGTGGGAAGTTGCCTTCTTCCCATCTCCAGAAGGATCATTTCAGCATATTAGTTTCGTCAATAGTATTTGCACTTCCAAAGGAGGTACGCATGTCAATTATATCGCGGACCAAATTATAGAAAGATTAATGGTAGCGGTCTCAAAAAAGGCCAAGGATGCAAAGATAATGAAAAAAAATCAAATCAAAAATCATTTGTGGCTTTTTATCAATTGTTTAATCGAAAATCCGAGCTTTGATTCTCAGACGAAGGAAACTCTAACATTAAGAGTTTCAGCATTTGGTTCAAAATGTAATCCAAGTGATGCATTTTATAATAAATTACTTAAAAGTAAAGTGGTTGAAAGTATATTGGAAGATGTCAGATATAAACAAAACAAAGACCTAAAGAAAACTGACGGGAAAAAGAGAGAGAAGATCACAGGTATTACCAAACTTGATGATGCGAATAATGCTGGCGGCAAAAAATGCCAAGAATGTACCTTAATTCTTACCGAAGGTGATTCAGCAAAGGCTCTTGCAGTTGCCGGATTTTCCGTAGTTGGTCGCGATAACTATGGAGTTTTCCCACTTCGTGGAAAACTTTTAAACGTAAGAGAAGGAACACATTCTCAGCTCATGAATAATGTAGAAATACAACACATAAAGCAAATCCTTGGATTGAAACAAGGCGAAGAATATACATCTACAAGTAAATTGCGTTATGGACACCTCATGATAATGACTGATCAAGATCACGATGGAAGTCATATAAAAGGATTGATCATTAATTTCTTAGATCATTTCTTCCCATCATTGCTCAAAATTCAAGGTTTCTTGATGGAATTCATAACACCTATTGTAAAGTGCTCAAGAATTCGCACCGAAATTGCGTTCTTTACATTGCCAGAATTTGAAAATTGGTTGAAAAGCAACGATAATGGTAAAGGCTGGCATATCAAGTATTACAAAGGTCTTGGTACAAGTACTGCCGAAGAAGCCAAGAAATACTTTAAGGACCTAAAAAAACATAGAAAACCATTCAGACCGATACAAACTGACGAACGCGAATTGATTGACATGGCTTTCAATAAAAAGAAGGCTGATGATCGTAAAGAATGGCTAAGAAATTACGAACCTGGAACCTACATGAATCATAACGTCGATGAGATCACAATTACCGATTTTATTAATAAGGAGTTGATATTATTCAGCCGAGCAGATAATGAAAGGTCCATTCCAAACGTTCTCGATGGATTTAAACCTGGTCAAAGAAAAGTTCTTTACACTTGTATTAAGAACAAATATAAAAAAGAAGTAAAGGTCTCATCATTAGCCGGTGCAGTTTTATCTGAGGCAGCATATCATCATGGTGATTCCAGTCTTCAAGGTACTATAATTGCAATGGCCCATGACTTTGTCGGTTCGAACAATATCAATGTTCTTTACGGAGTAGGTCAATTTGGTACAAGAATCCAAGTAGGTTATCGTTATTTAACCTTTGCTAAATGATTTGTAAAATATGATTATTATATTTGAAATAAGATACAAGTTTACTTTATTTTTAATATTAACATAATCGTTCATAGGGCGGTAAAGATGCAGCTAGTGCACGTTATATTAGCGTTACGATTCCTACATTGACTAGATTGATATTTCACCCTCATGATGACGTTTTACTTACCTATTGTAACGATGATGGACAGATCGTTGAGCCTGTATGGTATCTGCCCATTCTACCTATGCTCCTCGTCAATGGCTCCGAGGGTATCGGAACTGGTTAGTATCTATTCTAATCAATAAATGTAATATAACAATATTGAATTTACTAATTTTATATTATTATTAGGTTGGAGTTCATATATTCCAAATTATAATCCACGGGATATCGTTGATAATTTGACGCGATTAATAGATGGCGAAGAACTTAAGCCTATGCACCCTTGGTACCGTGGTTTTCAAGGTGAAATTGATTATACAAGCAAAGACAAATATAAAGTCCGCGGTAAATTTGAACTTGTAGAAAATAAATCAGAAGTTAGAATTACTGAATTGCCGGTTCGTGTTTGGACACAAAACTATAAAGAACAGCTTGAACAATGGATTGCCGGAACAGATAAAATACCCGCTTGGATAAATGTAGGTTATATATTTCTTTTCTTTTTTATACAATTGAATTTGGTATTTTATTTATTAATTAATTAATATTCAATATGGTATATGTAGGAATACAATGAAAATCATACGATAACTAACGTTGATTTTACCGTTAAATTGACTGAAAATAATTTACAAGCTGCTTTAGATGAAGGACTTGAAAAGAAATTCAAATTGACTTCTATCATTAACACATCAAATATGGTATGCTTTGATGGTAGAGGAAGAATTAAGAAATATAGTTCAGCTGAAGAGATTCTTAGGGAATTTTATGATTATAGACTAGAATATTACTTTAAAAGGAAGGAACATATGCTGAAGGTATTAGAAGTTGAAGTTAATAAACTCAGAAATAAAGTTCGATTCATTCAAATGAAGATAGATCATGACCTCAGATATGAAGGACTTCGTAAAGCCGAAATCATTAAATTACTTGAGTCCAAAGGTTTTGAAAGATTCAAAAACTCTAAAGAAGAGAATAATGATGAGGAAGAATCTGGTGACGGCGATGGATATAATTATTTAATGAATACTAAATCTTGGAGTTTTTGTAAGGAAGAAGCACAAAAACTCGTAAATAAAAGAGTCGAGAAAGAAATGGAACTTGCCGAACTTCAAAATAAGGCTCCGCAAATGATTTGGAAAGATGATCTAAATAATTTCTTGGACGAGTGGAACGTAAGTTAGAATTTATATTTTTATATTTTTATACTAGCATTTTTAAAGTCAAAATTAATTTGGTATATTTATTTTTTATAAAAAAAAAAAATAATAGACATTATTAGATAATGACCGTGCATCAAAAAAAGATAATCGAACTAAACGAAAAATGAAAGATTCATATTAAATTTAATTCTATATTGAATGTTGATACGAAAAGATAATTTTTTAAAATTATCGAAATTATGTTCAAAATTGTTATAAATTCATTATTTACATAAATAAATTAGGTATAGGAAATCCTATCCTTACAATCAAATCATTTTATATGAATTAATACTGATCTCTTATTATTAATTTTATGAAATTTATTTCAAAATAACTGATACATATTTGTAATTTATCTATTAATATACTCAAATAAAATTACCAATTTCTGATAAAAGAATACAGTCAAACCTCTATATAACGATATGTCGGGACATATAGAATTTTTTTTTAAAAATATCGTTATATCAAATTATACCGATATTTATATGACCTCAAGTATAGTGGGTAAATAAAATTTTATCGGTATATAAAGTTTTTAATAGTATATCGGTATATAGAATATCGGTATATAGAGGTCCGACTGTAGTAGTATCTATTTTTAAGCTTAAAATATATATGGAAGCTTGTCAATAAAAAAGGAAATCTAAAAAAAAATTAAATTTTTACTTTATATGTTAATATGATTTTTTAGTAAAATAAGTACAGATTTAACATTAACTTATAAAACTTTTTTTTTTTTTAGATTTTCTTCCTTTCTATTGACAAGCTCTCATTTATTTTGCTCATTTTTTTTATTAAAGTTTTTTCGGCTTTTTTTTTTGATTTTAGCTATTATTTAAATAATCAAATCAGATATTAGATCTTTATTTTTTAAAAAAAAAGTTAAAAAAAAAATGTTTGAGCCTTTTTAATTAAATAATATTTTATTAAGTTTTTTACTAAAATCCCAGATTTGAATTCTATCAAAAATTATATAAGCTTTAAAACTTTTAAATTTTGTTATTAGTTTATTTATACTGTTAAAATATTTCTGCTATACTTTTCATTAGACTAAAATTAATATCTTATTACATTTTAATTTAAATGTAATAAAAAATTTTCAGAACTTGATTTTCTTAAATCACAACCCATATTATTTAAATTTTATATTTTTTTTAATTTTATATTATTTTTAAATAAAATTATATATAAAAAAATAATTTAAATAAATTTTTAATAATTATTTTGAAACAGATCTAAAAATCCTTAACCAGTTAAAAAATTCTTTAACTGATTAATTAATCAGTTAATTTAACTCAAACTAATATTATAAATTTGTGCAAAACTAGCGAAATTTTATAAACACAAAAAATTTTAATTCTTACAAAAATTAAATTTTGGTAAAAGTTAAGATTAAATATTTTAATTAAAAAAAAATCTTTAATCAGTTAATAAAATAAACATCCTAACTAGTTAATTAACCAGTTTCATCTCTAATATAATTATATATATTATATTGATTTATCCTTATTTTACAATAATTGATATAAAAATCTGTCATATTCAAATTAAAATAATAAATAAATTATTCATAAGAATATGGATTAGCAAAAAATTTATCTCTAGTAAATTTATTACTTCTTTTAGAAATTTTTTTTACAAATAGTACATAAATAGTATTAGCTTAAAGAATTATCTTAACGATCCTGATACTGAGACTAGACTTCTAAGGTCTCAATACTAAGATATATTAAGTTTCAATAAGGTAACTATTTAACTTACAATTACTTTCAGATTATACCACTTATATAAGGATTATTCCTAGAATAGACTTATGTGTTCGTTTTGAGAAGACTTTTTGCACAAGTTCTAACAGCTTAGGTTTTGCTTAAAGATGCCAGCCAAAACTCCCTCAAAATAATTTCGTCATATCCCTTACTATGTTTTTAATATAGTTTCAGCTAATTTCAAGTTTCAGGATTTCGTCGTACCCTCACTATGTTTTAATATAGTTTTGGCTGTTTATTAATTGCCTTTTTTGAGTTTCGTCCCTCATCTTTAGTTTTGCTAAATTTAGATAAAGAGATCACTTCAGACTATACAAGAATATCACCTCCTATATTTTATCCAACTAATATTGTAGGATTCATAAAATATTATTATAAGATTTGCCTAAACAGTGAATTAGCAAGATGACCTTTGTATCCATTTTGTCAAATAACCAGAAATTAAACAGGACCTCTAACCCTAGTGATAGGTTAATTAAACAGTATTATAGTATACAATATAGTCTATTATCACTGTTGATCTAATCCACGAAATTCTGATCAATCATTTTTTTTACTTATGTAAAAGACCCTGCAAGATAAAATAAGAAATTATATCTATTATAGACCTATTAGTAGATGTCAAGTTTCTATTAATTCCTAATTTCATTTGCATTCCCATATTCTAACGTCATGCAGTATTTAGGTATAATTAATATTGATCAATAGATCAATCAATCAGATTTATATGTATGTATACCCATCAATTTAACCACAATAAAATTCTTATGAAAATTATCCAATTTTTATGTCACAGCTAAAATCCGAACTAATGACTTATTGCTATATAATGAAACGTTAGCACATATAAGACTTGCAACTAACCACTAAGTTAGGATTGTCACATTCTTTCTTTTTTTAGAAATTAATTTTATAAGTAATATAATACAAATTTTATCTTCTTAAATATTAAAAATATATGTTATTTCAATTTTAGATTATTATTTTTTTTAAAAAAAAATTTTGTAAATATTTTAATAATTTATATTTAAAAAAATTAGATTATTATATAATTAAGTATATTTAACTTATATAAATTCATAAAAAAAATTTTTTGATAAAAAACTTAGAAAGGCATTTTACTAATCTATAATCCATATTAATTTTTTATATCCTTTAAATAATAATTAATTTTTATTTAAATTTAATCATAATTTTTAATTAATTATTATGTAAAATTTTATATAAAAACTTATAATTTTTTTTTTAATTTTTAGTTAAAATACTTATAAATTTATTATAAATTTAATATTTTTAAATAAAATTTCATTTTTAATAAATAAAATATTAAATATATACAAAATTTTTAATTTTAGTAAATTTAAAAGCAAAATTATTGAAAGGATAATAAATAAAATATATAAATTATTTTTAATTAAATAAAAAAATTATTTTAAGTAAAATTTTAATATATTAATTTTATTTATTTTAATTATATTAAACTAACTAATTATAAAATAATATAATATTATAAAATAATTTTATTAATAAATATTTATTTAAATTATTATTGATAATTTTAAATTTTGATATATTTGATAAATAATTCAAAATATTTTATTTATTTTTAAAATAAAAAAAAACCTTAATAAATTATAAAATTTTTTAAAAAAGATTAATTTAGTATAAAATCTAAAGATAAGAAACAAAATTAATAAATCTAAAAAATTAGAAAATATTTATTATATATTTTTAAGCATTTATTATAAAAATACCTATTTAAAATATTTTTAAAACATTTTAAGTTTTATTATTTTTAAGATTAAATAATTATTTATTTAATAATAAATATTTTTATTTAAACTTATAATAAGTTTTCTTTAAATTTAATAAAATTAAATCAAAATTTTAAATTTAAAAAAATTTATTTAAAAGATTTTAAATAGATTTTAATATGTATTATTAATTTATTGTTTTTTATAATAAATGTATAGTTTTTTATTAATAATAAGTAAAAAATAATAAAAAATTCAATTATTATAATTATTTAATTTATTATAATTTTTATTTTTATATTTATATATATAAATTTAATTAGTTTATAATATTAGTTAGTTATAATAAATTAATTTATATAATAAAATAACCTTTATTATCTATGAAACTACCCAAAATACCAAAACTTAATAAAATTAATTTTTGAAAAAATCAAGTTATATAACAAAACCTATAAAAAAATTGGTAAAATTTAATAAAATTAAAATTCTAAAATTAGTAAAACTAGTTTAAGATAATAAAAAATAACATTATTATTTACTAATATTACCAGCTGAAATTATTTAAAAATATCTAAATCTAAAACTTTGTAATTTGAAACTGAAATTATTTTTGAAATCTGAAACTTTTTTCAAAATATATTATTTTATTCAAAACTCTAAAACTAATTTTAGAGATATATTTGCTATATAACTATATAAAGTTTTGGTAATTAAAATAAAATTACCTTAGACTTATATTATTTATTTATTTATAACTGAAAATAATAAATTTATTAAAATTTTAATTAAACTTAATTTGAAATTGATAAGATATTAAATTAAAACAAAAAAATCTGATTTATTAAATTAAGCTAAATTAAAGGTTAATAATTTAATTATTTTTAAAAAATTTTTTTTTACTTTTTTTAATATATAATCATAGAAAATATATGAAAAGGAGGTTGATCTCAAGGAAAACATTGGGAATATTATGACTGTTCTGAAAATACATAAAATGATCATATTCATGCTACTTGTAAATTTTATAGTTTTTCTTTATATTGAGAAAAAAGTATAAAAATAAAACATTATATTGCAAGAAAGCATCTGAACAATTATATTAATACAAAGAACAAAATGTACTATTTGACATTTCATATTCTAATGAAGATAGTCTAATCACTTGGTAGAAATCTATGAAAATAAAATCTAATTATTTACAAAGAGTTGCTTTATATATTTTATCAATTTGTCCTAATAGTGCAAGTTATAAAAGAGGATTTTTAACTTTAGGCTAGTTAACTAAAAAAAAGGTAAAATTTGGGTGTAGATAAACTAGAATCAAATGCGTCAAAAGAATTAGCATTTTATGAAAAAAAATAACAGAATCAAAAATAATAGAAATAGTTCAATTAGTATTAGCTAAATCAATTGATGATAATTATAATAATAAAACTGAATTTATAACAGAAAGAATAATTTCAGGTGAATGATTTCTGAAAATAATGATAGAATTATAATTGAACTATTATGGTTAGAAAAAAATTTAAATTTAAAACATCAAACTATTATCAATAGTTTAGGAGAAATTCCATTTGATAATTTTGAATTTATCTATGATAATGAGAATGAATATAATGAAAATATTGAAAAAGAAAATTCAAATAGACAATGTAAATTAATCTTTATCACTAAAGATTTATTAGTGAAAATACATAATTTATTTTATTTTATTTTTTTATTTTTTTTGATATATAAGATTATTTTAAATATTTTTCTTTTTTTTATATTATAATTTAAGGTGAAATGGTAAGATAGAAGAAAATAGCTCAAAAATATATGGTTATCATTTAGTTACGTTATCTACTATATAATAAAAAATTGTATTTAAAAGTTTTGATCCATTTATTTTTATTTTTATTTTTTTTTTATTAATGTTTATTTTATCTAATAAAAAATTAATAATATTATTCTAAAAATAAAAAAGTCTATTATATTTATACAGGATTTCTTAATCTTCATATTTTTAAAAATATATTAAAAAAGTAAAAATAGTACATTGTTATAGAAAACCTTCTGTGGTAAGAGATTTCCAGTAATAACATCTAAAAAAAATTCAAGTACAATTAAATATAAGGGCAAGGGAGCAGAAAAACTAGTATTACATTTGTTACATTTAATAATTGAAAAGTGATTAATAGTTATAAGAATCATACAGTTACCCTTTCTAGATGTATTCAAAATTTTGATTGTGGGATTGTGGGATTGTAGGTATAATTATGAGTTAATTATTATTATTTGTTGATTGCTTTAATTTCAACATAAATACTTATTGAATTTGCTTTGAATTTAACTTCAGTCATTACAGAGTTTTTGTTATAACAAAATATAAAATGGATCCTAGTTGATCCTAAAAAGCATCATTTCATAATAAGAAATCTATTGATTCAGATTTCATGATACAATTATACTTGTTAATTTCAAGTTTATTTATAAAACTGAAAAATTCAATCAGCTATAAAAGGTAAGTTAGTTATATCTGTTATTTTGTTAGATTTTATATAAAATGAATAAAGGAATTGGTTGGTAAACTTACCTCTTTATATTTTTTTTCTTTAGCAATCCAAGAATAAGATTAAGATACTTTGGTTAAATTTTGCTTTATTATTATAAAGTTTATAGAAATCGATCATTTAGATTAATTGATTTTCCTTTTTTAATTGATGCATATAATTTTATTTTTTATTTTAATTTAATTTAATTTATTTTTTATTCTTTTTTTTTTATAAATTTAGGATAAGTAATTCTCTTTTTAAAATTAATTTTTAGAAATTGATAATGCTAATTTTTTCTATTCAATGATAATATGTCTATAGAATAAAAATAATTAAATAAATAATATAATTTATCTTTTGAAGAATCCTTTGGGATTCTTTAAAGATTTTTCTTTGATTTTTTTTGTTTTTACTTTTTTTTAGAAGCAGATCTTTTGTTTTTTTTCAGATAAGAAGTAAGTTTCTTTAGGGAATTCTTAAGGGGTAAATTTCATTCTTTTTTACTAACTTCACCTTTTTTTAGAAGTAAATCTTTTGTTTTTCTTCAGATAAGAGATAAGTTTTTTTAAGGATTCTTGAAGGGTAGATTCATTCTTTTTTACTAATTTCCTTCTTTTTTTTTAGAAATAGATCATTTGTTCTTCTTTAAATAAAAGGTAAGTTTATTTGGGAAATTCTTGAAGTGAGTTTATTCTTTTTTACTAACTTTTTTATTTTTAGAAGCAGATCTTTTATTCTTCTTCAAATAAAAAGTAAGTTTCTTTAGAGATTTTTTAGAGGTAAGTTTCATTCTTTTTTATTAATTTTACTAAATTTTTTTTAAAAGTGAACCTTTCGTTATTCTAAATAGAAGGTAAGTCTTTTTTAGGATTCTTTAAAGGATTTTTTGGAATAGATTTTTCCTTTTTTACTAATTTCCTTTTCTCTTTTTTTAGAACATGATTTTTATATGCTGAATAATATTCTTCATATATCATCTTATCAATTCATTTGAGCTTATTTTTAATAAAAATGATATTTAAATTTATTGATTAGCAATTTACATTAGTTTTTGAAAAAAATACTTTTTAAATATAAAATGTTTAAAGGATTTTCCAAAAAAATAAATAAAAAAGATTATAAATTAGTATTTGTAAATGATCTTCAAATACACTCAAATGACATAACCTTTATTATAAAATTATATTTCTGAAAAATTTATGTGATTTAAAAATAACCAATCAAATTTAATTATCAAAACTTATTAATTAACTAAAAATGTATCTTTGTAACTATAAAACTTATATAAATATATCTTTGAAATTCTGAAACCTATTTTGAATTACAGTTAAAATGTTATCCTATCTTTGAAATACTAAAATAAAATTAATTTCAAAGTTCTGAAATTTTAGAAATTTATAGTTTCAGCTGGCATCTTTATTGTTTAATTTAATTATATTAAAATATAAAAAATATTTTTTTTTCTAAAAGCAATTAATTGTGAAATTTTATATTAATTTGTATAAAAATTAAAAAAAAATCAGTTTATTAAATAATTAAAAAAATTAGCTTATCAAAAAATCAAAAAAATTAGCAAATCATTTATTTCTTTAAATCTTAAAATTTATAGTAAAATATGTAATTAATTTTATTATTATATATAAATAATAATTATTACTATGTTAAATTACTTTAAAATAAAAAAATATATATATTTTTTAAACTATTAATTTATATTAATATATTTATTTAATCTTTTAATAGATTTTCTAAATATTTAATTTTTAAATAGTATTTCTTAATGGTTAATATAAAATTATTTATTAAAAAATTGTTTTAGTGATTAGCTTATTAGATTTATCTAATTATGCCATTTTTAATTGCATTGTATTTATATTTATAACATCATAAATTAAAAATTATATTCATTTAAATTATTTAAATCTTTAAAATATTTTATTATCTAATAATTGCAGAAAAATATAGTATTTTCATATTTCTAAAATTAATAGATTGTAAAATATTATGTATTAATAATTTATTACTTATTTATTAGAAAATTTTAAAGCTATTTGTTTGCTTAGAAAACATTATAAATTTACTATAAAATTTATATATTTAATAAATTATTTAAAAATAATTTAAAATGATTTTAATTAAAAGAAATTGCATCTAAATTTAAAGACAAAACCATTAAAAGGATAATAAAATAATAAAATAAGATAATTTTATATTTTCAAAATTAAATTATATTGATAAAAATTAATACTAGATAACTATTATATTTTTATCATACATAACTTTAGATTCTTTGATTAATCAAATTAATATAATTAATCTGGTCCGGATACTTAAAACCTTTTAAATTCTTTGATTAATAATATAATAATAGGAGAACATAATTGCAAAATGTTTGTTAAATAACAAATAATTGGTATAAGATCACGAACACTAAACTATTTTTTTCCACCTCTTGATCTAATTATCGCCCTCAGTCGTGTTATATGGATCTATAAATACAGATTCTTTAGATTGCAATTCTTGATTAGCTGTTATATCTGATTCCGACTTTGTTGCAGCTTCTATTCTTTGTTGTTTTAATTGTACATCAAGTAAACAATTATTAAATGATGATCTACTAATCACGTATCCTGCTGCGATCGAAGTTACTAAATTCAAAATATTCGTTAAAGGATATATATAAGAAGAGACTGGAAAATAAAATGGATAACAAACCGCATACTGATAAAATAGTTTGATTTGTATTTAATTTTATTATCTTTCGAGCAAAAATTCCTTATATTAAATAAAGAAAATTTAATTATTAAGCATGTATTATTAAATAACTAATAAGAAACAAATTGTTCTTCCAGGCATAATTTATTATGAAAAAAAAACCGAACAAATAAATTATCAAATACCTGATAAAATTGCGGCCACACCTCCGCATATTAAACCCTCTTGTTTCGCTTTTTCTTGACATACTTTAGTTGGAACCAATTCCTAAATGTTAACTATTAATAGCTTACTCTTTTTAATTTAGGTCAACCTCAATAAATGATTCTTACAGGACGTTCTTCCGCTATACCTTTTTGAATTGAAGTTAAGAAATTCATCGCTTTTATGAAAGAATAGTTTTTTTTTTTCACACCAATAAAAAAAGTTATTTTAAATCAAGATTTAATGGATCACGTTTTCAATTGATCATTTTCAGTTGCACGGACACAGTTTTCATGCAGAAATTTATAATCTAAATCAAATTCTTAGAGTTTCAAAGTCATTACATTTAAAAGTTGGTCTTTAAAGGCAGAAATCAAGAACTCTTTGAGCGGGACAACTTCGTTTAAAGTGATTTATACAGATTGTTATAGTTAAATTATAATTAATTTTATCCATTGTAAAAATTTTTTCAAATAACAAGTTTACAAATATTTATTACGAGGAAGAAACAGTCTAAAATTTTTATTTCTTTTATTAAGATTTATAATGATTTTACATTGCTGAAAATTTATAATTTGAATTTTCTTTACTAAGTTAAACTAAAGCCACGACAAATTTTATTTTAAAATAAAAAATGTGCCAGTGCTTCTTTATTGACCACCACGAAGACGGAGAACAAGATGAAGGGTTGATTCTTTTTGAATGTTATAATCGGAGAGGGTACGACCGTCCTCTAGTTGTTTTCCGGCAAAAATAAGACGTTGTTGGTCTGGGGGAATTCCTTCCTTATCTTGAATCTTGGCTTTGACTTGATCGATTGTATCTGATGACTCAACTTCCAAAGTGATGGTTTTGCCAGTGAGGGTCTTAACAAAAATCTGCATTCCTCCGCGAAGTCGAAGAACAAGGTGAAGGGTGGATTCTTTTTGAATGTTGTAATCGGAGAGGGTACGACCGTCCTCTAGTTGTTTACCAGCGAAAATAAGACGTTGTTGATCTGGGGGGATTCCTTCTTTATCCTGAATCTTGGCTTTGACTTGATCAATGGTATCTGAAGACTCGACTTCCAAGGTGATGGTTTTACCGGTAAGTGTCTTTACGAAGATTTGCATACCTCCGCGAAGTCGAAGAACGAGATGAAGGGTAGATTCTTTCTGAATGTTGTAATCGGAGAGGGTACGACCGTCCTCAAGTTGTTTACCAGCGAAAATGAGACGTTGTTGGTCTGGAGGAATTCCTTCTTTATCTTGGATTTTAGTTTTAACTTGATCGATAGTGTCTGAAGACTCGACCTCAAGGGTAATGGTCTTTCCAGTAAGAGTTTTAACAAAGATTTGCATGTTGAAATATATATATTTTTTTTGTCGTGTTAAAAAGAAGAAATTTTTTATTATTTTTGTAAAAATGTTGAAAAAAGAAATTTTAAAAAAAAAACTGAAAGGATTCATAAGCCCCCTTTTTATAATAAAAAAAAATGGCTCATTTCAGATCACTCAATATGCAGTATTACACAATTTCACAATCATTCACACAATATAAATAACCGATAAAATCCAATTATGGTAAGTCAACTGCGGAATTTCTTTATCTCTTTATCAAATTCGAATGAGGGGAATGACCTTCACACAAAGAAAAATGTTATACAAAAGTTTGTTTTTGTGACTCAATAGTTCTTTTTTAGGAAAGATTCACCGGAACCACAATTCGGAGTTCGGGCCTCGAATGACAAATCTGTCTAAATTAATTAATATATAAAATTATGTAATGTTGATGTTTTACAATTTATACTATTATTACTATTATTGGTGAATAAAAGCATTATTTATTAGCCTTATCTCCGAGAAGAAAATTCTACAATAAATATGATATAAATATGGTTAATATGCTCTTGCGGGTCGAGCCGAAGTTAGGCTCGGTTCGGTTTCGGTTCGGCACAAAAGCTCAAATTATAATATTATAGCCATTTATAATCAAAGACAAGACAAAAAAAACAGGTTTTTCGGTTATAAAACTTGTTTGTCTCGTCATTTTACTTTCGATCAGAAAGGGCAATGACGCCATTAAAATTTGACCCCTCCACCCCTTCCCCTTTTTAATTTGACATCATTTCTGACCCCTCCCTTAATTCCGCAACATTAATTTTCAGATTAGGATTCAAAAAATGACATTATGTTCAAAAAAATACGCAGTTAGATTAAACAGATAGGATTTATAGCTGGGCAATATAATTTTTGGATAGTAAAAATTTACGATATGGGCTGTTACATAGCAAAAAAAAGGGCTTAGAGTACCCCTTAATTTTGTTTGAATATTTTTTATCTTGAAATATTTTATATTCTGAAAGTTTAATTTAACTAATTTAACTGACGAAAATACCATGAAAATAAGATCTATGACTTCAATGATAGATATGAGAATATAAATCTGAAACAAAATAATATTTTAATATTGCACCTTCTTTTGCAGAACTTGGAATAGAAGAATAATGAAACAAATGATATTACTTGTCAAAATGTTCAAGAATTATGGGAATTTTGACAAAAAAAAAATGTACATGTAGGAAAAGTAAATATAAAGATGATGAGACTTGCTTTGAGAAAATAGGTTTCTATAAATTCTTTTAAAGATAAGAGGAATGCATATAATAGTTTGAATATTTGGATCAAATGATAACTTGCATCATTTGTATATAATGAATTACCAAATCAAAAAAAAACTCGGCAAGGATTATCCAATCATATTAAATATCAATATCATTATAATACTAAACATATTATATGTTTACCCACTTATCTAAAATTAATTGGAATTTCCACATCTCAACTTGATCGAATTAAATTACATATTAAAAGTAATGGAATAGCTGAAATAGTTCATATAATATAGGACACAGTTCAATCTGATCTAATTATACTATTGTTGATGATCAAATAAAGCAAGAGCTTAATAATTTTCTTTATAATTATACTCATATTCATAGATATTCTTCACTAGGTCGACTTATACGAAATAATGCTATATCTGTTATTTTATTTCAGATGATAAAACATATAATAGTATTTATGAAAAATACATTACTGCTACTAAATCAGATAAAGATGAAGATTATAAAACAATAGCTTATACTATCTTTCTTCAAAATTAGAAAGAAGTTGCATTAGACATTTGATTTATGACTAAAGCATCAGACCTATATGATAATTGTGAATAACTTCATAATAAAATTAGAGTTGCTAATAATATTGAAAGTAAATAAAAACTTTAAGCTAAATATGATAAGCTGGTAAATTTCCTTTAACATTTTATTTATTATTTTTTAATTTTGTTGCTTTATTATAGAATATTTTCAAGCAAATCATAAAAATTTTCACTTTATTTCAAGAAGAAAAAACATTTTGTAGAAAACATGTTGTTATTATCACCAAGAGTTAAAAAGCGTATGACTCCTAAAGCTAAGAAATGAAAAAAATAATAGGAGTTTACTTATGATATATTAATATATGTACTATAAAATTTAAAATAAAATTATGAGAAATTTTAAATAAATTAATTCATATTAGATGTATCATTAAATATAAAATAATATTATAATAGAGTTTTGTATAGATAAGATTAATTGATCAATCACATAATTTTTATTTTTGTTATACAAATTATAAATATACTATTAATTTTGATATTTTTCATATTTCAGCAGCTTTTGCATAGACCTGTATAATTTTTTCTCAATTTTTTCATTAAATGATATTTTTCTATATGTAAAAAGTAAGAGTAGCAAGTAGGATATGTAACTTACTTCAAACTGGTTAGATCAGTCAACCAAAAATGTAAGTAACAGATAGGATGCATAAATTGTTAAAAGTATTACGCAAAAAATTACATTACAAGTAATATATAAAGAATATTCAGTAGAACAAAACTGATAATATAAAATATGAAGAAATTACAGTTAGCAATAGATTTGAAGATTTACTAATCAAAACTACCGCTATTACCATCACTATTACCATAACCATCTATTTTATTATTGCAATCATGCTTTGAAAGCTTTGGAAAATTGTGCAAAAGTTAGTTTCTTGAAAAATGGTAATGCATAAAGAAAAATCATAATCTATCATTAAAAGAATGTAGTTTTATATACATTTTAAAGTGATGAATAATTGATCTTACATCATCTATAGGTTATAGGATTTTCATTAATATTGATCTATAACATGTGTTATAGAATTTGGTTTCAATTATATATAATTGAAATCCTATTTTTTACTATAGGATATTAATATTGTAAATCTTAAGAATTATCAAAATACTCAAAAAAAAAGGAAAAATTTTAATTTGATAGTTTATAGAAAATGAATTATTTATAAATTTGAGGTCTCGGTAAAAGGAAGAAATAGTAGTTATTTTAAAATATATTAGAAAACCTTTTTTACTCAATTTCTAGATATAAATAAACTATATATTACTACTAATTACTATGAAAATTAAAAAAAAAATCAAGAATATGATGAAGCAATAATTAAAATTGCAATAAGTCCTTGATGTTATAATATCAATGAATAATAAATACTTAATTTATTGAAATATTAGATATATATATTTTGTTAAACTAATTTGGATTAATTTTGTTTTTTTATTAAGAATATATATATAAAAAGATTTAGAAACTCAATACTTCATAGTTAGTATATCATGATAATTAGTATTCTGGTTTTAATTAGTTTTTAATATTTTTAATTAAAAGAATTATTTTTCTAATCGATTAATTTAGTAAGTAATATAATAATAATAAATGATTTTATAAAAAATCAAATTAAATAATTTAACACATAATTTTAACTTTATTGTAATATTTTTAAATTTAAATAAAGAATGGATTGAATAAATAAAATAATACATAAAATTTTGTCAACTGGTAAATAGATAGTGTTTATCAAAATCTTTTTTAATTTAAAAAAATTGCTGAAATTGGAAAGTATCTATTCATCATCCTGTTTATTACCTATTAATTTAAAAAAAATTATAAGAAAAGAATTAGATAAATCTAAGTAAGCCATTAAATAGATAAATAAACTAAAGGAAAAGATATTCTCATTAGTACAAGACCATGAAATGCTTCCAGTTCTCTTTAATTATATTCAATATAACTAGAAAACTAGAACTATTACTAAGTCTGAAGCTTGTATTATGTATTGATTCAACTTTTGAGCAGAATACCATATATCCTAATATATATAGTCTTACACTTCGCTTTAGACTAATAATGATTAATCATAATGGATCTTTAAGATAGAACTAATTTCTTAAACATCTGCCAATTAAAGTGATAGTACAAATAAAGAAGGATCATCTCATATTTGGTTTAGGAATAACGTACTAATAAGGATCATTTGTGATCTGCAAGACTTAATAATATGAAGAATGAAGATACATAGTGACTGCGATGTGCAGTTGAAAATTGTCATACTCAAACAATAGAAAATATGAAGAAGTTTGCAGAAAGAAAGAAGGCTTTTTTTTGTCTTACAACCGAGTATGCTAATAGATAAGACCCTTTTGAGTGGCTGTGTAAAGAAGATCATAAGTAGAAGATTTTGACAAAAATATTCTTAAAGGAATTTGATGTTAAAGATGCAGTATATTAGTTCAAAAACATGTTATATCAGACAATAAACATATTCAAATATAAAGACACAATCATATTACACATTAATATATTGACATAGCAAATAATATTGCACAAGAATGAGATGATAAGTGTTTTTACAATACTAATATTCAAATGCTTTAAAATGTGTTAAATGTTATATAACACTTTATCAAATAAAAATATGAGAAGAAGGTATTTATAATATTCTGGTAATTTTTTTTGTAATCTTTCAGAAGCTAAGAAAATCGCTCACAGTAGAAGATGTATATGTCTTTCTATAGAATATATAAATCTCTGTGTTCTAATGCAATAGATGTGTAATAAGGGTTATAAATAATTTTTAAGTTTTAATTGTATAAAAACACTCTAAGACATGGTGCTTATATTGCTTAAATAAACATGAAACATAAAAATCTATGTTATGAAATCATAACTAATATTTTTGATCTATCTTTTAGCATCTACTGATCAGATTTTTTGAAAATACCTAAATATCTTTAAGGGTTAGAATTCAACATTTTCTATTCACATTATGAATTTACTATAAAAGTCAAAGTAAACAGTGTGAGCAACATATAAAGAATTTTCACAAAGATCCAGAAGAATTTAAAAACAGTTAATATGTGATCTTTGTGAAAAGAATTTGATTATTTTATGATATATTTAATATTATAGAATCAAAACATAGTT